TTTCTTTGGTATTGTATATTTTCTACTTTTAGACATATATTAATTACAATCCTTTGGCGCGAAATGGCGTGCTTACATTGCAAAGACAAGTGTCAGAATGAATAGTGAGGGGACATAGACGTCGACATTTTAGTAAGGCTAGTGTTGTGCCAATACACAGGCACAGAGTCGGATTTTCTTCCTAACATTACGCTGACAGTAAAGGTCAAAGAGTGAGTTTAACTTTGATACATTTTAATGTAATCTCCTTACTAAATATTCTATTTACTTTAGTAGCTAGTCGGGTGATAAGCTTAAAGATAAAGTGTAACTTTGTATCTACCGAACAATGTTTTTACGTGCCTTACAGTATGTGAACTTTACCATCTTAAATATGCCCATTTCTCTTTGGAATTGCAAAAGAGGGCAGATGCAGCTTCTCATTAGTGCCGACGGCACAGTATCATGCGGCATCACTTTGTGTGAATCCATGATAAGGATTGAAAACAGCGGCACATAGCCTCCGGCATTAGTTTAAAAGAAAAAGCAAAAAGTGGGCGCCGTCAGAGACGCAGGTTATCTCTAGTTATTTGTCGTATCAAGTGGTTCATTTGGATTTCGCCGCCGCTTCAAACGAGCCGACGCGCACGGTAGCCGCGCCACGGCCACTTACAGAGCCGGTGAATTAGTGTTGTGCTTGTCTTTGCTATACCTACTTATCGATACATATAACATGTCTCGTTTGATGCAACTCTATTTTTCGCCTGACAAGAATCACTTACTTATCATTAAAATAAAAATATATATGCATGCATTTTAAGGTGCTTCATATGATTTTTTAATAGAAGATAGCAGAAAAAATTTCGTATTGTTTTTTTATTTAAATCAATGAACCATATAATATTAGTATTGGCATAGCACAGTTCACTAATACAAATAAACATCTCTATAATTATTCCACGTAAAAACAGTATATTTATCACGTGTTATATAAAGTTTTTTTTGTAAAGATGTCTACAGAAAATAAAAATAATCGTGCATTGCGTCAATAGTAATAAAATCGTTGCGGATGCGATAGGATATTTTTGTGCGTACCTACTTTAAAACATAAACAAGATTAAATAAACATCTGAACTTTAAAATTATATTTGTCAATTGTTTCGTTGTGTTCACAACACTAGTATGCAACAAAAGCAACGGTCCAACGCAACACGTTTATTGCCTCATCAAAATGGTAGATGAGTGTCATGGCGTGGCGGGTGCCGGTGCCATCCCGCCTTTGTAGATGCCCATTAAAATCTTAATCCGTTTCAAATTCCGATTACGTGGTAACAATTTATTAACGAATCTTAATTATTCCGCCATATTTAGTTTGATAACTAACCGCGATCTGTGCCACTATTCAATTTACAAACGAAAGTTTTATGCAAATAGAACATAAATATCAAAATAGACGCTTTTATAATCTGTAATAGAATGTGGAGAATGTGTGGTAACCTGATATCTATGTTTGTTTATGGTTCCTTAATTTTTAAATATTAAAATAAAGTTTCTAATAGACTATTTGGATAATATTTTTAACTTTTAATGGCAACTATTAAAATGTTAATTAATGTTAGGAAACTTATAAAAATGTGTCTCTACAAAATGTAGATAGCAAATATTTTAAAGCAAATTTTTTAATAATTGTTTTGATTTGTTTTCATCATCAGCTCACTATACGTCCCCACTGAGGGGCTCGGATCCTACCCTAAGTTAAGGGTGATTAGGCCATAGGCAACCACGCTGGCCAAGTGCGGGTTGGTTCATTTGTTTAGCATTAACATTTTCTGAAACACTACACGAAGAAGTAACTAAAAGCAACTAAGAATTGTAAAAACTTAAGCTTAATGTGTTGTTTCAAGCTGTGTTCTACATCTATGCCAAATTTAAGCGAGATCCATGCAACCGTTCTGGAGATACCTTCTAACAAACATCCATCCGTCTAAGCATTCGCAGTTATATTAGTAAAGAGTAAGATGGTTTTTTTTTATATATCATAAGGTGGCAAACGAGCGAGCGGCCTCCAGAAATCGCTGAAATAGCGAAGTGACTGGAGTCCATAGACATACGCAATTACATATGCGTTGCCTACCTTTAATCGACGAATATATTTTCCCTTCCCATACATCCTCTCATCCGGAAAGCCCACTTCCACTTCCCATCCTTTTCTTAAGAAAAAGGGTGGAAAGGGAAAGAGGACTAAAATTAGGCCTCCGGGACGTTACACACACACTGTTATAATGTTTAACTTTTGACGTAGTTTCAATCCTTTGTATTAATATCTCGTGCGAGTTGAATGTGCAATCATTATACATTAATTGTGTAACGTAACACCTGTAATGTAATTGTTTGACTTGTAACGGTCTTGTTGAACAAACAGTCGTTAAGTTATAATTTTAATCATAGCCAACGACCTCTCGCTCATTTGCATGAGCACTTTACACAGAAAATCCACAAACTTGTTTAGACAAGGGAATTTAATAGGCTTTAATAGCGACCGCACTCTGAATAATACTAGAGAAATATTATAAATCCTTTGTGACATATTGCTTAATAACTCGTTTCGAAATTAAATAATATTATTGCTATCGTTGGAAAAAATACTCTAAGCTAAAGCTTTTATGGTTGATATTAGGTTTTTATTAAATTGTTAGATATTTAAATTTATTATAATATCAAATCAGTGATAGCATTCTGCGAATCATAAAGTCGAAGGATACGCCATTTGGCTAAAATTGTCGTGAATTATTGGATGGAAATTTTTCTTTTATTTTTTAAAAATTTGCAATAGCTAATAAAAATGTTCTTAGAAACCCTATACATTCTTGGCACATTGATTCAAAACATACATCTGAATATTATTATATAAATATTTTATCAACTAGGTAATATTTAAGTCAAAATATTTGTGTTTTACCTCAAGAATACCAGTTATTCAGAAATACTACTAAATAAATTAATTTAACTGGCAATATTTCGTGCCATAATCACGGGTATGAGCATTTAGACTTTCAAGAGGCTAATAATGGTGTAACAAGATAGTGGTCCTTAACGAGATATATTTATATCAACCTCTACGAGTTCACAGAAACCATCCCAAGCAACAGTACACTGGCTTCTTCTAAACATATACATATATACTTTACCTATGACTGCTATGTACTAAATATTTTATAATATATATGTTCGATTCTCCTGCGTCTTTACAAGAAGCAATTTAGTTTTTCTAGGAACTATAAGTCTACTATTTTCTATTATTTGTCCCTTTATCTTAATAGATTACCTATTTATACATTCATGGTCGTCTACATATTTATTTTCCAAAAACTTTTTTACTTTATACCGCAGGAAACAAGACATATAATAAATAACTAGACAACAAGGACGTTGTATTTATCCTACGCAATTTAATACATTAAAATAAATTACATTAAATATATAATAGTAGATATAAATTATGAATACGCATGTTCTATCCTTTAGTGTTAGAGATCAAAGGAACTCCCACGCATTCACACATGATTTAAACTTATATCTCAGTCAGAAACATTGGGAAAAGTTTTTATTCTAAAATTAAAATTACGAGGGTCATCTGGTACTCGTTATATAGACAACGTTATGGACTTCCCACAAATTGATGTATGTCTGTCGCTCCTTGATACTAATCGATATATTAATCGAGAAGATAATCGATTTGTGTTGCAGATGTCGTTGATCACCTCGGTGTTCGAGACGCTCGTTTGACCCATTCTCCAATAAAAAAAAGTTTATACCACTATATCATTATTAATAACATCATTTTAAAAACAAAAGCACGAATCCATTCTTTCCATTCTCTCGAAATTTGGCATAGATGTAAAACATAACGTGGAAGAACACATAAGTTGCTAACCCAGTTTTTAATTCCGCGCGGACGGAGTCGCGGGCTACAACTAGTAACATATAAGAAGTATTGGATAACCTGACATTTATTCGTTTTTATTCTATATTAATAAAAATATGGGATTAAAATTAGATTATATTTATTTCATTAGTAAGCTTCCTAATTATTAAATTTTTAATTAACTAAACGAACAACAATCCAACGAGGGTTGGATCGTAATTTGCTAATTTAATCAGGAGTAATGAGCATTTTTAATTTAATTTAATTCCACCTGGCTATTACTATCCTATTTAGGGTTGGCAGAAATTATTTTTCTTAATTTTATTTTATTTTTTTATTCCGCAATAACGTAAAAATGCAATAGAATTTTCACAAATATGTATTTTATGAGCGAATACATTCGTTGCATTTTATTCAATAATACTTTTTATATAAATGTCAATATTCTATGTTAAAATATTCTTCGTCGTGAATACATGGAACTTTGGCATTTACTTTGTTATATCTACAAACGAATAAACTTAAGAATTCTATTCATAATGTTACTACTGCTTTTAAATCAAGCATATTAATTCTTTGAATAATTTATTTTAGGCACATTGTTTTTGACTCCTCCCAGGGCGAAACTTGAATTCGATATCTAACTTTTTTTAAGAGCAGATCTCATGATTTGTGGACAGGTGGCGGCGTAGCATTGCGGCGTCTTTGTGCCAACAACTTTGATGTTGCCGCCGCATTGTGCGCGTGCGCATAAAACTCAATGGTTTTTGCTCCCGTTGTCGTATTGACGCGACTATTGATTTTTGTATGCCCCGGTTAGGCATCAATGCCTCCGGTTTCAACTTACGTCGGATTGTGAAACTTTCGGGGGATGCTGTGTGCTTTGACGGCCTTAGAATGTCTAGTGTGATATTCAATAGAATCTACAATAATATAGGTTTTTGTAAGAAATTATAATTGTTAAATCACGTGCGTTTTTTCTTTATTTGTTGTGTAGTAAAAATATTTATTTTGAAGTATTTTTATTAATAAGTTTTAGGTAGTTTTAGGTTCAATTACATGTCCAAAGTATTAAATGTATATTTTGTTTGTGCAGGATTAACAGCGGAACTGTTCTACGTTCGCGACGGCCAGATCAACTCGTACGCGCTCAACTTCGTGGTGCCTGTGCCGGCCACCATCAGCGAGCTACACTTTACCTGGCAGAGCCTCGCCAGAAGACCGGTGAGATACACGTTCATTGGTTACCTTGGTACTTAAAATTCTGTTCGAATCTAGCGGAAATTTTTAAAACTGTTTTATCTTTGTTAAAACGGGCTTTCATCACGAAGTTATAGCAAATACTAGGTACAGCCGACGACTTCCTCCGCGCCGAATTAAAAAAACCTAAATAGTAGCCTATGTGTTCTTCCAGACTATTTTCTACATCTATACCAAATTTAAACGAGATCCATGCAGCAGTTCTGGAGCTACCTTAATCAAACATCCATCCACCCAAACATTCGCATTTATATTATTAGTAACATTTCTTAATTTACATATTTAATGAGTTAATTAACGATATGTTCTTTAGCGAATCAAGATCCTTAATTTATAGTTAGTTTGTTAATATTACACAAGAGAAAAGTTAACATTTAAATAACTAACCATTCAGCAGTAACTAAACTACTCTTATTTCACATTAGATGAGTCTTTTCCATTAGGCTTCACTCCATAACTTCCTAATGAATTCCACTGACAGTAAATGTCAGACGTCATACGGCACAGGATATTTTATACTACCGGAAGCGTCCGGTCATTGACCCTTGCACTAAACTATCCGCATCCATAGGATTAAAGGATTGATCTCATTCTATGAAACCGTAGGTGTACTGATAAGAGAATTTAAGTCACAGCTCAAAGTCTTTAGCATACAATGGTCTCACGTTTGCTTATACTTTTGTGCTTAAGAATCAGCTTCTGATAAACTTTAAAATCGTCCAAATATGTTATTCAGAGATTGATATGATAAAAGGAGTTAAGTAAAGTTAAGGTTATATACATCTATAGCCTGGCCTAATAGTGTAGGAAATTGGTTGTTGTCAATTTAAATTTGTTTCGGTGTTGTCAAGTATTGTAAAAAAAGAAATTTAAATTCTATTAAAAACGGTTAACAGTAAAACTTTTAGGCGTTTATTTTATTAACGAAATCCTAAAGCGCCATAAAAACCGTGAATGCATCTCGTTACCTACTTCCCAACGGGTTTCCTATTAAACTTTTACTTTTATTTCGCCACGTTGATGAGAATTTTCCATTAATTTTGCACAGACATTGCCTTAACTTAAATTGTTGTAATTAACTTGAGAGAGCGAAGTTTGTTAACAGCTTTACTTGGATGCGTGTTTACTTAGCATTGTTAAGTTAATATTTTACTAAGTTGGGTTAGCGTACTTAAGTACAATAGCGTATATTATGATTAATCATAAATATTCACCCCCCATATGTGTGGTAGCATATGCTTGATATTTTCGTCTCTACATCTTTCTATACACTGCAGCGTAATTCCCGAAACATCAATAAAATATCTAGAACTTATTTAAAAAGGCATAAAGTTCGCTGTTCATAAGTATTCGCTTAAAATCAATATTCTTTAACATCGAGTAAAATTGCGAGTCATAACTATTATGAGGGGAGAGCGCTTCCCTCTGCGAAAATGTTATCTAGTTATTTGGCAGTTGGAAAGTTATTTACATTCAGCGGCTAACGTATAGGGCATCGTGATTGAAACGATGTTGATAAGGACGTCACTATATCGCAATAATAATCCCGTTGGCCGACGATCATAGACCGGTTTAATTTACTCCCCTTGATTACGGCTCTTGTCGATAAATTGCGCTCATATCAATCGATACTGCTCTGCTGTATTAATCGATTTATTTTGATTTTTTTTAAATCGATTACGAACTTTATTCAAATTTAACGATTAGCACGCACATTGTATAATTGTTTTATAACAACGAAAATATCAGTGAAATATAGTTAGCCGGAATGTACTTAATAATAAGTACAACATTTTGAATACTACGTTTCTGTTTAATTTACGCGTAAGAATGTCAATATTTAGATTTCATGAACGCGAATAAATTGACGTATTTTAAACAATTAATGCTGCTAATTTAGAAATTCATTAAAATACATCTCAACAGATCGTTTTCATTAAAATTTTTATGTTAAAAACAAAAAGACGCGAACTTATTTATTATTTATTTATACATTTACTTAATTAAACATTTGTAACATGCCAGGAATTTTCAGTAAAAAGGTTGGTTATTCCTGTTTTATTATTTAGAATTTAAGAATTAATAAATATTTATAAATGTCATTTGTTTAAGGAATTCGTTTTTGTTATTGCAGTTTGTTTCGTATAATTTTCTCGTTAATTCTCCAATACATACTGGAGAACAAAAACAATGATTGACGTGTTTCGTTGCAGCCGCCAGAGGCCGCTATCTACGCGTTCTGCAACTTTACATATATTTTACATAAAACCGATGACTCGTTATGCAAACATCGAGTTAGTTGAATGCAACGCAGAGAATCGCTTGTGTCACATCGCTAACCAAATATTATGTACATTTATTTAAAACTTCAATTCCTCATGTTCAAATATGGAGGGATATAGCTCCTTATAATTTCAGATTTCTTCATGTAAAAAAAACGAGTTTTTTACGAATATTTTTGGTAAACCCCTTATAAAGTATTACACTCAGAGTCCCTTAATGCTTATAAACGCAGTCTTTTAGTGTAGATTTTGTGGGAATAACAACAAAATAAACAATTAATATTGAATGTTTACTGAAAAGCTGTGTGGTCCAATAAAGCTGTCAATAAAAATATGTTTATTTAAGCCGCCATTTACAAGTCAAGCTCTATACTGATACCACGAACGTGTATTTAATAACGATATACGAATGAGATCAAATACGTTCATAGATATATTTTATGACAAAGCACAACAGAACACAAAACAATAAACTTTTAACTATAACCTTTTGATTTGAAATAAAATGTAATTTTTTTCAAGTGAAATAAATTTAAAACAATGATATAGTGCGAAACAGCCATATAATTTTATACTTACATATAAATCAAAATGGCAAACTTCTGTTACTTACTTACATGTAAAACAAAAGATCAAAATAGGCAACGGTCTTTAGAAGTAGGAAGGGTTTATCAGATTGCCAGTACAGCCTGTAAGCGGCTCCTTTGGTTTTAAACAAATATTTGGTAAGTGCTAGTTAACTAGCGCCGATGAGCGATCGCGCTATTGTGCATGCCGACTACGGTGATAATGTTTAATTAACGCGGTGTCGCATCTCTGTCCGCGTACTAGACCAGAGATTCTCAACCTTTTTTTTTCGTACGGTTGTATTATCATAATTTTACTGGTTTATGCTGGTACATTTCTTCTTAAACTTTTGGCCCTCAACTTTTTTCTCTTTCCGGCCTGAATTGTACATAGAGTCGGGTTTTTTGTGGACTATTGATGGTCCATCTGAACCACTTTGAGAATCACTGCACTAGACGTATGCGCATGCGCCGACACTGTTTATGTTTAGCATGCGCGCAACACCGCGGTCATTAGTCAGATTATAATGAGTATGTCGGTTGCGACCAGTGTTTAATTGCTTCGTTACTCCTGTTACCGACCTCTCTTCATAGTTCTTGTTATAACAAATGCATTATGATAAGTAAAAAGAAAAACAAATTAAGAATTTAAAACAAGGGTTAAAATTTAAATGATAACAATTACCATTATTTTAATCTTTAAATGGGATGCTGTTTTTGCACTTGAAAGCATTCCAGCACGTACTTAACTTCTTGTTGTTAGAGATGAGGGCACATCGTGCGGAGTTAGCGGAATGTCTCGAGTACAAAGGTAACTAGACGTTAGTGAGCACGAAAGTCCGATAAAGGAGCATTGTTCGTGCTCACTCCGGGTCACATTTGACATTTGATCCGGTTCGCGGTCGCGATTAAACAGTTTGGAATCGACCTCGGAGGTCCGCTGTCCGTCAATGCTTACAGTTACATCGCGATGACATACCGTTAGGTATGCATCGCGCCCATCTTCGTAAATGTATAGCGCCTTAGATATGGCCGAAATCTTTTGGTTAACTGCCTGGTCTTTTGCCTAATATATATAATATATATAAACTTCATAATCTCCTTTTTACCGGGACTTTTATAAAAGCATTTTTCATTTCATCACAGTTTAGTCTGATGTTTTATTTAAATTACGTAATTTGGATATTAATTGACCTGTTTTGTTTCAGCTGCCGTACACGTTACACGTGGATGTGGCGTCGGAGCCGGAGGCGATGCACCCACCGACCTTCAACATCTCTAGCACGGGCTACGTGCCCACCGAGACGCAGACGTGGCGCATCGATCTGCCCTGCATGGGTACCGTCGCCGCCGAGGTCAACATCACCATATCGCTTAACATATCCACGGGCTCCTCTTCCACCATCTTAAATTTCCGGAGGCGGAAAATATGCCTCAAAGAAGCACCTCGACCTGCAGTCAGGGTCGATAGCGTTCCGCACGCGCCGACTTCCGCAGATATATTCTACGCGGGCGCAGGCTGCGCCGGCGGAGTGCTCCTGATAGCCGCTGTTGCCGCGGTCGCCTGCAAGGCGCGAGCCCGCAAGCTGCGACGAGCGAGGAGCGATGAGCAGGACGCACATGCTTTCCTTCCGGACTCCTCTTGCAAGTCCGCCGCAAGCTACACCAGTTACCGCCGCCCCACTTCGCTGCCCGCCGTCGCCGCCGAGGAAAGGGCCAGAGACCTGCAGCAGAGGATAGCGGAGCTTACAATACAAAGGTGCCGTGTCAGGCTCCGCGCGGTAGCCATGGAAGGGACTTTCGGCAGAGTTTACAAGGGCACGTATGCCGACGAGGAGGGAAGGGAGCAAGAAGTTTTGGTTAAAACTGTAGCTGAGCACGCATCACAAGTGCAGGTAGTTATCCTCAAAAGCGAGCCTTTCGGTACACATCATATTAAGGTTGGAGATCTAAAACTAAAATGATTTACAGGTATCGTTGCTACTCCAAGAAGGCTGCATGCTTTACGGTTTACACCACGAGAAAGTGCTATCGGTTCTCGGAGTGAGCATTGAGGATCAGACTGCCCCGTTCCTCCTGTATCCATGGAACAGCGGCTGGAGGAACCTGAAGCAGTTCCTGCTGGCGTGCCGTGGCGTGGGCGTGGGAGGCGCAGGAGGCGCACCCCCGCCTCCACCATTGACCACCCAGCACGTGGTGCGCATGGCGCTGCACGCGCTGGACGGCCTGGCGTACCTACATTCCCAACACGTGCTACACAAAGACATAGCCGCCAGAAATTGCATGTAAGTTTTATTACAAAATTTGTTACAGGGAATTTTTTTTACAGAGATGTCAAAACTAATCTATACAATTTTACCAACAGTGTAGATGAAAATCTTCGAGTTATGATCGCGGACAACGCGTTGTCTCGAGACTTGTTCCCCGCCGACTACCATTGCCTGGGCGACAACGAGAACAGGCCCATTAAGTGGCTGGCGCTGGAGTCGCTATCCAGGCGGCAGTTCAGTCCGGCGGCGGACGTGTGGGCGCTGGGCGTGCTGCTGTGGGAGCTCACCACGCTCGCGCATCAGCCTTACGCGGAGGTTGACCCCTTCGAGGTAGCGGCCTACTTGAGAGATGGCTACCGATTACAGCAACCAGCTAATTGTCCTGATGAATTGTGAGTAAATTAATATCACAGAGGTTTTAATGCATGTATAATTAGAATTCTAGGCGATTGCGGTATATATATCCGTTCTAAATAACCTGTACCATTATTTTATCCGAAGGTTCGCTGTGATGGCGTACTGCTGGGCCATGTCTCCTGATGACCGGCCCACGCTGCCGCAGCTGCAGACATTCCTGCGCGACTTCCACACGCAGCTGACACGATTCGTGTAACTCTGTGCCACGGACAAACACAATCCAAAGACAATAAATAGAGGCGAGTTCAAAAGGCATAAGCTTGTGTTTACAGCCAGCCTTATTATAACAGAACAGTTACCTTGAGTGACTTAAAACTATTGTGAAAAGTGTGTGCGAAAGTGATCGGAGACCATGTATAGACTGATTTTTATAAAAGTGTTTATAACATTGTAAATTATAGATGTTTTATTATCAAGCGACTGTCGTACTGTCTATTTTAAATGTACGTTTCTCGTGTTTAGGTCTCGTTGCGCAGTGTTATAAACAAATAGAGGAGCTTTTACGAGCTCGGCAAATTTATAACATGTGCACAGTACGTGCGAATTTTAATATAACACTGGCAACACCAACCTGTGTAACCAGACTAAATAAATACAGACACATGAAATTGTTTCACACATTTTAAATGTACCAACTGATGTGGTTGTATTTACATAAATACCAGGGCTTGTGATAGTAAAATAAAACCTTTTGAAATCCAAATAAAGTCTTAGTTAAACAGATGGAATAAAACTACACATTGGTAATGGTAAATATGATTTAAAATATTTTTTTTTTGTTATTAAACGTATTGTAACTAGATACCGTAGATTTTCACAGCCAAACGTACAACAACCATAATAGTTTCATTCTATTATTGTTTCAACAATGAAAATCCACGGTAACTGTAAAAATCATAGCCATAATATTGTTTTCAGTGACAAGAGAAAATGGGACATATCCGACAGTCGCTTCTAAATATTGTAATATTATTTCAAACCTCAATACTGCCATATTAGGATTATTTGTAAATATTGATAGAAATACCGTACAACGCGACGTATATTAAATGTGCCTCAGATTTTATGAAAGTTTTAGATGTTTATTGGTGTTTGTAATTAAACAGATGTTTTCATTAAGACTGGATTAGTTGTGTTTAATTTATGTAAATAGAATATTAATTACCTAAATAGTATTAATTGAACGAACGACTCTTATAACATTAATAATGTTCCAAATAAAAATATTTAAATGTTATTACTATATCTATATATTGTCAGCCATCTGATGATGAGATGGCTGGCAATCCACAACCGTGCGGTTTGACGAAAACTTCCTGCCTCGCACAGCAGCGTTGTGGAATGGTCTGTCCTCGGCGTTGTTTCCTGACCGCTACGACTTAGGGTCCTTCAAGAAGCGAGCGTATCACCATCTCGGTGTTTCCGCTGCTCGTTTGCCCTCTTATGTTATAAAAAAAAATCTTGCCATTAGTAAAATCTATAATTTTTTTTTTATATCAAATACGATGTCATTTATAACAGAAGATTAAAGTTGAAATACACAAGTTTTTATTAATTCATCACATGATTGAAGGATTACTTTCATCGTTTGATCTTTCGGATTAAATATTGTTATATGCTATGATATAAAATTTTAGATTTCTTTTTATATTTCCATTTATTTTGGGGACGCTTCGGGCGCGTGAGTATTCAAAAATAACATCATTTATTCAGGTTTTGAAAGAAATGAACATACAGACGCGTATCCATCTTGGCACGCGTTACGAGACTTAAGAACAGACTACACGATTTATTATATTATAGTTTTTAAAATGTTTCTAAGAATATTGTACAAAAAAACTTCTGAAAAATCCATAGTTCTTATATTTATAATTGTAAAAAATATCAGATTAAAAAATTTGCGTATAAAAATTCATTTTTTTTATTCGTTTATATTGTCTAACAAAATATCTTGACAAATATATAGTTGTCTCTGTTCTTTCAAAAAGTGTGAGAGGAATGGTTATATGTTTTGCTACACGCGTTCTGCGAGAGAATATCCTCTGTAACATAGTCATCGTGTTTTTCAAAGACAAAGTATGCTGTTTAAAAGCAAATGTAAATATTTATACAAAATGGGACATTATTTCGTAAAAATAGATCGGATAGTTCTTGAAATTTGTATAACTTTGTACATTTTATTCTTGTATCATCTTAAACTTGTACAATTGCATTTCATTATTTACAAATAGACAAAATTGTTACATACTAAGAAATTTTGTAAATTAAGCTTGTAAATTTGTAAATAATTTTATTCTTATAAATGTCAATATACGAGTGAATACAATTTCCTGTTATTTTTTTTAACCTTTTAAAAACAATCGTTAGTATTATTTATATTAAAAAAAATACCTTTTTATAAAAGTTCTATAAATTTTGTTCCGAAATTAAACATTAAAAAGTTGTCACAAAAAAAACAACAAAAAGTTATTTTACTCATAGGCCCCGACGAGATTCGAACTCGTGATCTCCTGTTTACTAGACAGGCGCTTTAACCAACTAAGCCACGGCGCCTCACATGTAACGAACTGAAAATATCAAGTATAATAAACTTGTAATCAACATTAATTTTTAAATGCAAAAAAAAATAATTAAGTATAAATTTTATGAATATTACAAATAACCTCGTACTGTTTTAAAAATTTCCAAAGTTCGTATTACACTGTTTCTAAATTATTATTGACACTTAATTTTAAATTAACAGCCAACGCTATGTAAGTTCGCAATATCTAGAGATAAAATTCCATGTTCATATTGACAAATGAACAAAGAACATTGTTCCGAGTGATACCAACCTGAATATTTTACCGATAAGTCGCTGCATTCATCAATTAACGTCAATCATATTAATTTAAATCAAAACAGACTTCAGAACATTAATTAATAACTATCAGCGTATTGTTTTTCATATTTGACATATTTAGCAAACAATTACGTAATCAAATTAATAATTATGTTTTATTAACGGAAAAAGAGAGATTTCTTATTAAAAAGAATGAGAACTTTGGGTATATTTTTATGTTTTAAAAAATAGGTTAGGGTAGTTTTAAAAAAAACAAACAATTTTGAAGAATGAAGACTTTAGTTTTTACGAGTTTTTTTTGCTCAATGAAAATTATTTAAGGTGAAATGTATAGCAGTCGTGGCCGAGCGGTTAAGGCGTCTGACTAGAAATCAGATTCCCTCTGGGAGCGTAGGTTCGAATCCTACCGACTGCGGAACTTTGTGTGTTTTTTGTATATGATTACGAAGGGTTTTGATGACGAAAGTTTTTTAAAATATATATTTTAATCGTTAATAAAAGTAAGACTTATATCCACGATTTATTAGTTATGTATTAATTAATTTGTATAATATCCATGAGCCGGTACAGCCAAAGATATTTAAATGGGTGCATATTTTTACTATATTTTTCCGTATCCTTTCCATTAATTACACGTATACAAAAATTATTACTGCTGATCAAATAGATAACTATAACACGTTTATAGCATGCGCCGTGTTTTCTTATGTTTAATTAGGTAGGGGTGCGATCACCGATACGGAGTCTGTTCTGCATATTTTATTACGAGAAAATAATGGTTCCCCGATTTACCTAACAAAAACTTTTTCACAGAATTACATTTTTATATTGAACTAACTGTCGCCCGCGACTCCGTTCGCGTGGAATAAAAAATAAACTTAAAGCAGTTCTGGAAATACATTATAACAAATATCCATCCATCGAGACATTCACATTTATAATGTCAATGAGTTTCCATTATCGAAACAATTTATGTTAAGATATTTTTGTCCCTTTCATTCTCTTTGAAAAGATAGGGACAACAATATGTACCAGTATTACTGCAGTTGACTTTCACGTTTAAAACAATAAAAATAGATTCGTATTTGTTTATCGTTAATGCTATATATCTGATAAGATTGTAGTAGTCCATTTTTATAATATTAATAGCGTAAGAAGCACATAACTTCTTTGATTCAGTATTTCTTGATCGCGATAACGCACATAACTTTGAAGAGTCGTATACGCGAAGGGTGATGGAGAAACGTAGCGAGTCTGTAATGCCGCTTTGGTAATGTTCTACAAGGGCAGTAATTACTGATGTGTTTGGCCAGATAAAGCAAGAGGGTGATTTATGTTAACAAGGGAAACTGTCGAAAGATTATTTAGATTTCTTAATTCTGTATGATTAGGCCATTTTTATTATTGTTGCTCGTATTATTACTGTAAATGTTATTTAGATGTCTGTAAGGAGCAACTATAATATATATTTTTTAACAAATATATTTAATGTTGATGTCTCTATAATTTTAGATTGATAATTTCAACCTACGTGTCATAGCAGTCGTGGCCGAGCGGTTAAGGCGTCTGACTAGAAATCAGATTCCCTCTGGGAGCGTAGGTTCGAATCCTACCGACTGCGGAAAGGTGTTTCTTTTTTTTATTGTCAGCGCCATATAAATTTTACTAAGAAATTATTTTTGGCTACAAATTAAAAAAATCTTTTGTTTATGTCAACTAAATTGCGAAATTACGACTACACAATTACACACAAAATTGTCGTTTCATTTGTTTTAATAGAATTTACCAAGCAGGATTCCCAGAGCAATCTTTATCGTATCCCAAAGCTCCTGCGTAGATTACATTAGGTTTAATGGAAAATTGAGGGAAATCCAAGGTCCCTTGGGTATTTGACAGGACGTACATATAATGTAGCATGTACCCTTAAGAAAACGCGGTTACTATACATAGATATAGAGATAGAAGAATGTTCGATGTCTTAGATAAAATAAATGGTTGGGGATCAAAGATATTCGCTTTCATCTCGACTTACGTGTGGTTAGATTTTAATTTGTTTCTTTTCCGGATAGAACGGAAAAGGAAAAGAAAGAAAAGAATTCTTGGAAAAATAAAGAATGAAATAAGCATTTCTTTCAATTCGAAGAGAAAGTGATTACTATAAATCTACACTAAAGTATTACTCAAATTATATAGGTTACTGTGGTAACTGTTGAAAAATTTTCTGATAAAATGTTTTAAATAAGAAATATAAATAGAATAAAGATTCAGAAATTCAATTACTATTAGCAAATAGTTGATGGGAGCGACCGAATCAAATTAAAATTGACACATTTTCAGTGAATGAATTCCGAGCGATGAAGGAAGACGGATATTATTTAATCTGTCGTCGGCAGTGATGGATTACCTCCCTCGCCGCGCCAACTTCACTCTACAAATCATCACAACTCGGAAACATCATGATCATTTGTTCAATAATCCTTTTAAACCTTTTGATGTATTAATGGACTGTTTTACAGATTTCTTTTTTAATTTTTATTTATATTTCTAAAACGGTTGGGAACACACAATGTTTTAACTCATTGCTTACTTTTCATACATACTATTGCTGTGTGGTATAACTATTAGAATTGAACAATGTTATTAATTCACTAAAGCAGTTTGAGTAAAGAGGTTGGATTTAAAACAATTAATGAACGTTGCAGGATATTGTCGACGGCATTTTAGTACCGCGTTTTCGCGAGCACGAAAATCATTAGGCTTGTAAATGCGGCGTCACTTCGTTAGCTGCTGAGTTCATGTGAATTTGTAATCGGGAGGCGACGGCGCCGGGTGATGGATGGGGCCGCGGCACCAGGTGCCATCAGGTGCCGTCAGGTGCCGGCCCGCAATCAATCATCCACAATTTTAATCAATTTATTTAACAGTCTATATAATTGGAGAGATTCATAATTTCCATGTCAATTTCCCATCGATGAGGCGACGTTATC